AAATCTTTCATGGTGGTGGTAGGTGTGTCTTGGTCCGAAGATTTTATAATCCGCACCGTTTTTCCATATTATCAAAACTACGGAATTCACAGGACGTTTTCTCTAAAAATCGTCCCCATTTAGGGACAATGACTGTCCTCTTTGGTCTCTGTCTACAAACATCAGACTGGTCTTCACATTGGAAGCAGCGTTTCAAATGAAATCTATGGATTTGTAAAAATCATAATAACTTCACCATCGCTGCTGTAATTTTGCAGCTCCGCCATTATTTTACAGTTGTGTCAATAAACTTTCAGGTCCAGCAATACATTTTAATTATAGCTCCTGATCCAAAATCACGTATCACGGATGAGGTTGTAAGATCCTGTAAAATTACAACACAGTTCTTACAGTGTGGATCTGGCAACTCTGTCTGGCGGCCGGCACGGTGGGCCTGCCTGTTTGCAATAGGAAGCTCATCTCCATTATTTACTCAACTTACCTTTCTCGATTCTATGTGGCACTATGAACTAAGGTCCCTATCCTAAACCATTCACGAGATACTGTGCAGTTCAACGCCAAATTTGTGCTCGATAGCGTTAAGTGTGTGAAATGTTTGTACAACTAGACAGTTTCTTGTCGATAGAACGTTGGTGGAGACAATAATCGATGGGTCTGCGCGTCAGGAGAGCTCCGACGACGGCAAATTTAACGTCCAGTGGAACGTCAGGTCTCCCATCCGTAAGTATTGTCTGGGTTGTTTCTTGTAGAGATCATCATAGGTGCCCGACGCAAAAGGATTTGTTTGCTTTTGGTATGCTTTTGGTATGCTTTCTGTATGCTATCGGTTCGCGGAGGGTCGCGCTCGGTGCGCCGATTGGTCGCCGAGGTTCGTCAGGCTCCTGAGCGACGTATCGCCAAGGATCACCGGAGGTTCGCGCCGGAGCGACTTATGCCCGCCATCGGGTAGCTGTATGCGCTGACAGAGCGTACTGAGTATGCATTCAGGTCGCTCCGAGACGAACATGAGCGACCCCAGTACGCTTTTGATTCGCCTGGACAACCCGCCGTCGGCGGGTATTTTACCTTCCCAGGAAACCCCGGCTGGCGCTAATCCCTAGACCGGCGCACTTGCCAGCAGAAGAGGGGACAGATGGGTTGGCCCCGGGACGCTCGAAGTACCTGAGGGCTCGCTAGCAGTGCACACTTTGCAGCTGGACATCACGATCACACCAGTCTGAGAGTGGGAGCCGCAGAGGGAGAACGTGTGTGTGCATGTAGTCAGAGCAGCAGCGCACTGCGGGTGTGCGATTTTACTAGCATCTTTAGTGCTCAACTTGTCCGCAGTTGCAGATATTTGACGCTGGATTGTCGACTTAGAGGACCTGCCCGCAGAGCAGTCCATGTTGCTTACTTTTTGATAACTAGTGTTCAATATTTGCACACCACTAAGTGGGCAGCTCAGTTAAATACCATGCAATGTGCAAAATCATCATTATGGAATATTTACACACTTGTTTTACCAGTGTTATGAATCAAATGTGCGTTTAATTATGCAGTTTTTAATACGGCAGTGTGAATAATTTTTCAAATGTGCAAT